ACTGCCAACTACAGTCTTATTGTCTTGAAGAAGAACTGGACCAGCATCTTCCAACTTTTTATRATCTTCTGCACCAATACCATACACATCGGAGGACAGCTGATGATCCAACTTTAGAGGAATAAATTTGGGGGATTTTTTTTCTTTATCGTACGTTAACCCAAAAATTACTTGGGTTAGGTCTTGAGCTACTAGAATCTCCTTGCTGTGTTCTTTCAAGAAATATTTGCTATTATTGAAATATTCAGAACCACATGGAAAAAATATGTGGCCCTGAACTTTTACAAAGTTATGAGGTGAAGAATCAAGTGTACATTCTTTTGGTTGACTTGGCATTGAAAAACGATGGCAAGAAACACGTACAGTAGCTTCGTTTCTTTCTTCTTTAAAATCTGGATCATACATATAAGCATAGCATTTAGGGTCCTTAAACTTTGTTTTGTCAGCTTTTTCATTTATATGCTTTTGAATAAGGAATTCAAGATTGGCATCATTCTTAACCATACAGCCATAACGTTTTATTATCTCTTTTCCATTTTTGTATGTCACTTCAACAGTTGCTGTCCCTTCTGTGCCATCTGGCTTGAGAGAACGTAGCGCCATAGCTGTACGAAAGACAAGCTAGGCTGATCTAGCTAAAAAGCTATATACAAAAAAAAAACAATAAACAGAAATTCAATGAACTAACAAATGCATGAATGAATTGCAATTGGATATGATGGGATGAGATAAGATGAGATGGGATTGAATAGAATATGATGGGACAGCATAGGATATGATATCATGGGAAGGGATGGAACAGGAAAGGTAGGATAGAAAAAGAGAGGATAGGATAGGACAGGATAGAATAGGATAACATGGGATGGGAAAGGATTGGGTAGGAGTAGATGGGATGGGATGGGATGGTACAGGATATTATAGGATAGTATAGGATGGTATAGGATTTTTCTATCAAATAATGTTAAAGCATTACTTGTGTAGCACCCTTCTGGTTTTTTTGCAAAGAGTTGGGGAAACAACGGAAAGAAAAAGAGAGCCAAATAAAAAAAATAGTCAAACACAGCTGATTTGTTCAATCAAGAAGAGCAGTAACAATAGAATGGAGAGATCTAAATCCAGATTGCAGGGGCGTAGCTAGGGCATTTTGGCAAGCACACACGTGACAGGTCACAAGCTCCTAAAATATTCCCACACCAATTTCTTTTTCAATTTCTTTGTACTTTGTATCTTATAAAATGACAGCACTTCGAAGTCTATGAGCAGTGACACAATCTCCATACAGTTAGCATGAGCCAAATTAAAAGGAATTTCCGCTCAACCAATCAGAGACAACCGTTCGGGCACGCTTGTAATGAACAAGGTATTCAAGTCAAAAAGAAACATTTAGGTTGCCCCTAACAACATCGTAGTTTTCACGACAAAACCAAAGTCTCAAAATGTTTTCGTTTCTCGCTCAACTGAAAACCATATTAATAATGTTTTTTTTGTCTCTTCGAAGCAAAATAAACCTATTAGGCCATTTTAAAGATATTCAATGCACTTAATTTATTACAGAAAGAGTAAGTTTAAAACATTGGTGAATTCTCAACTACGCACGTGCGTATATACATTATTTATGCTATGCCCCTGGATTGATGATGGTTTATTAGATCATAAGTTATAAGATAAGAGGACGTGGATGGATGGATGGGTGGATGGGTGGATGGGTGGATGGATGGGTAGGCGCTGGTTTGAGAGAGTCCAATATAATTTTGAGATTTTTTATCTCCTGATCATTAGATTGACAGGGTCATGATGGTTTTGGACTCTCAGTTAACTCACACACCCCTGACAACAAGACCAAGTACTAGCCTCCCCACTGGGGATTGAGCTCATGATTATGAGTTAAACTCTGAGTTGATAAGTTAAGTTCAGTGTTTCAATATTAATTAAGCAAATTAAGCATTTTGATAAGAAGTGGTTTTTTGTAGCTTTTTATGATAAAGTTTAGCGATCAAATTTTACTAAAAGACATAACACGACGTTTCGACGTTAAATGAACATCATTATCAAGTGATAAAAACTAAGAAAACGTTAACTTATATACATGAATAATAATGAGTATAAAAAGGTGTGAAAACGAAGAACTATGTAATTTAAATATTGTACAATAAAATGACGAAGAAAGAAAAATAACTAATAAAATACTTTAGCCCGAATAGAGTCACGTTGAATATTTAAGCTGGGTTTCAGTTTGTTAATAAATAACATTTCATTAATTAAACAGTCCCATTAAACAGAAACCAGGTTGTAATGGCGTAGAATCCTATCTTTAATTTCTGACACCATGTAAAAGTATATGGAACCAAGGATGGCTTGGAAAACTACGTTTTATTCAAGGACACTGAATCATATTTGTACAAGACGCCATGTGCTCGGAACGACTATTGCACATGCGCGGTTACAATTTATGCAAAATACATAACAGTATGATTTGTTTACATCTGTCCCTCAAGTTAAGGGTAATACATAAAATCAATGAAAGTTATGAACTGAGGAATAAGTATAAAACAAAACTCAAACTAAGTGTTCTGAACAATGGGCCGTGTTCATCCTTGCAAATTCACAGTGTAGATACTATGTCTATTTTATCCATTTATTGTCCATGTGAGTGTTCATAGTCCATGCAAACAATAGTTCACAAGTCGAGCCTCTGAGGTGGCTTAACCGTGCATCCACTCCTTGTCTGTACCCAAGACTTGTTGGCACCTGAAGGGGTCCTTGGTGTGGGTAGCAAGGGAATGGAAGGTTGTGGTGTAGCCTTTACCAGTGTCTCTGTTGGACCAGGTGTACTTGCTTGTGGGTTAGGCTGGGCACAGGGTTTCAGCTGAACTCGATTGCACTTGATAGCCTTGTTGAGGTGTCGGGGATCCAAGCACATGTGGATTGAACCGTTTGCCTTTGGAGTCTACGCTGTTGAGCTAATCCATGGGGTGTATTCATCTTTGACTTCCTTGAGAATCCCGAGTCCCACCAGAGGGCAGGTTTATCCTTGTACACTGGATCTAAGTAGACTGGTACTTGCCTTGGGGGGTGTTGGACGTCTGGAGTGACAATTGATCTGGGTCTATCACAATGTGATACTCTGGGCCAGGGAAGCATCCGATACATGTAAAGACATCTTGATATTCCTTTAGCAAGTATTCCTTTGTAAGGAAGAAGGGTTGCTGTTTGTTTTGTGCATTAGTTGTGCCCTCTCTGCAATCGGCTTTCACTGACCAGTTCAATTTCAGTAAGTTTAGGCTTTGTGCTGTCATGTTTCCTATAATAGCTGGCCCGTTTACATCTTCTACTCCTACAGTAACCAATTGGGGTTTTTGACTGTTGGGTCCTTGATTATACACATCACATGACCCTACTGTGGGGATGTCGGTTCCCCCGTATGCCGTTAGCTTCACCATTGACTTTTTGAGACTTGGTTGTGAGGGTTGTAAACTTGTTGTATACAGATTTAGGGAGGTTGTTGGTTTCAGCCCCTGACTCAATTTTGCACTCAACATTGGTTCGCTTCCCCTTTACATTGGCTGATAACTTGATTTCTAGCAGGGCTTTCTGTTTGCTTGCCACTAAATTGACATTGCTGCTTTTGATGGATGCAACTGTGATGGGTCCCAGGAATAAATTATCACTTATTGCTTCTGTAGTGTGTAATGGCTCAGCAACTACTTCGTTGACTCTCCTCTTCTGGCCTTCTTTGTGGCAATAATGGTATTGTATATATATCCTTTGCAGGGCATTTATTACGTGGGTGCGAGTTTTTACCACAACCCATGCATGTGCGTTGCCTTGTATTGCTTGATAGTGGATAGCATGTACATCACCTTTGCTCATGATTTTCAGTTGGCTCTCAGCTGATTCCTCCGTTTTAGCAAGTTCCTTTGCTCATTGAAATGTTAGAGAATTACCTTCTTTCAGGAACTCCTTCCTGACACAGCTTGAGTTGATACCAAACACAAAGTAGTCCCGAAGGAATCGCTTGTGTAAGTCTCTTGGATAATCTATAGCTTCTTTGATCAGAATCCGTATCTTTGAAATTAATTCCTGCTTGATATTGTACAGTTCCCATGTTGACATGAGCTCRTTCAAGTGGGGTTTTACCGCATTTTCGAGCCCTGTCCAGTAGGATTTGAGTAGATTCCTCTCTCACCTGAAAAGTATAGCAAGTATTTACACAGTATTGCCTCCTCTATCTTGACCAGCGGCCCAGTAACCAACAGCTCACACTGCTGTTTCCAGAGTTTAAACCTACTGTAGAGTCCTTCGTCGGAACTCCAATCCATTGTAGGGCCTTTTAGTACCGACTAATTGGCAGCCAAATTTGTCGACTTGTGACTCGACTCTCTTCACTTACACCAGTGAAAAGCTTGTAGAAACCAGGTCGTAATTGTAATCATATTTGATCGTACAATTAAGACACCATGTGCTCGGTTGCGCATGCGCGGTTACGGTTATGCAAAATACTTAAGGGTGAAAAGATCGAAAAACTTTTACTGACGTTTTGGGCGCTATAGTAGTCTTTCGTCRGAGTGTCCATAAAAGAGAGGAAATAGTTCTTCGTTTTCACACCTTTTTATACGCATTATTATTCATATATATAAATTAAAGTTTTCTAAGTTTTTAGCTCATGAAGAGCTATTGGAGTGGCTAGATTTCGCATTTTTCGGATGACGCTTCTCAGCCAATCGTTTTGGGTAACTCCCGTAACCATGGAATCCATTGTATTCGCCAAGTGACGTCACTGGAAGAATCCACAAACGTTGTTTGTAGAGGAAGCCATTTTTGGATTTTCAATCACTTCATAATCACATGTAATCAGCAATATATGTTGAGTATTCTTAGTTTACTTTATGCTCTTTTTATTGGACCTTGAGATATGAGATTGTCGTATTTATCATTACGTTGGAAAAGAATCCGAAAACAGCCTGGTTTGTCATATATTGGATCGATTAGACTCGGTCCAGGTAATCTCAATTGTAGAAAAATTTCGTAACCAGAAATCCGAAAAGAAATAGGATTCTAGCCAATTTTTAATAGATTTTTTCATATATAGTGTATTTCTTTCTAACCCAAAGCAAAAATTTTATTCGAAAATGAGGTTTAGGCCTTCATTTGCTTATTTCCCATACATTTTCTATAAAAAAGCCTGACAAAGCAAGATTCTAATCATGGTTCGCACAGACCTTGAAAAGTCCTTAAAAATGCATTTGGTACTTGAAAACTCCTTGAATTCTAAAATTTTTATTTTTGTCCTAGAAAAGTCCTGGAATTTTTCTTTTGACTCCTTGAATAATTCATTTTTATCCTGGAATTTCTTGGGTACTATCTAAAATATATTTTTTTCATCTTTAGAAAGAGGAAAATCTAGGTTAAAATTACAAAAATAATTAAGATAATACATAAAACAGTAATTTCCGGTCGTTTTGCGGGTTTTGCGGTATTGTGGGTAATTTTCAAGATGGCGTAGGGCTCCTTCAAATTTGGTAATTCAGCTACTCAGCATCATTAAGGCATGGCTCTCAGATGAAAAACTGTTTAGCTATATCATAGCCAGTTTTCTACGAATCTTCCCCAAACTTGGCAAGTYAATGTCTTTTGTGAAAAGAAGGAACCTTAGAGCCTTGGTTACCATGGAAACTAAGTCACGTGACCACAAGGCCGCCATCTTGGATTTTTAAACAAGCCGTTTGAAAACGTACCGAAACATCTTTAAAAGTCATGAAAATGCAGATTACTATTCATATTTACAAWGCCTATATGGATCTAATTGGATATCTTGGAAATTATTTTAAGTTTAATTTTTAGAATATTTTCTATTTTTTCAAAAAAATTAAAAATATTCTAAAAATTAAACTCAATATAATTTCCAAGATATCCAATTAGATTCATATAGGTATTGCAAATATCAAAAGGAATATGGATTTTCAGGACTTTTGAAGTAGTTTCAATACGATTACAAACGATTTGTTTAGAAAATCCAAGATGGCGGCCTTGTGGTCACGTGACCTGGTTTCCATGGTAACAGATATGCGGTAATTGCTTGCCTTGAAGAATTACTACTACGAGCCAAATTTGAGAAAGATTCATAGTAAACTGTCAAAGGTATGAATAAATAACTGATTTTTCATCACTTCCTCAAAAGAACCATGCCTTAATGGTGCTGAGTACCCCCCTACCCAATGCTAATTCCAAGTAAACAGAGAGAAGTATTCGAGAGGCAGAGTGCTCACACTAAATCTGTGAAACAAATACTAATTTTTAGCACTAAATAGTGATAATTAAACAATAGAAAACAAAGGATTCTGTATAAAAATAGTACTAATTAGTACTATTTAATGTTCACGGTTTAGTGCGTGCACTCTACTGCATGTTTAAATACGGTTTCTATTTCGCTTCACTGGTTCTTTTCTGTCCTTGTAGTCCTTGAAAATGACCATTAAGTCCTTGAAAAGTCCTTGAAAAGTCCAGGAATTTTTTTCCTAGATTACTATTCGAACCATGCTAATACAATTGCAACAAAACATCTTTGTATAATTAAAAATACCGCTTCAAACGAGGCATTTTATCATAGTACATCAGTTTCTAGTCAGCGTCACATCCGGAATTTTCTTCGTAAATATTTACGAAGAAAATTCCAGATGTGACGCAGGCTAATCAGTTTCTAACTGTTTAAAAAAGGTTTTGAGTGTAAGCCCAAAACGAAAATTGGGATCAAAACTCATACGAAAGTGTAGTTTTTGGCACTTTTTGCACAAAGCATAACTCCGACTATCACCTTACTCGGGTCACAATACCCTCAATGAAATGAGTACCAAGTGTCATTTGTTATCTCCTAAAGTTCATTGGTACTCAAAAAGCTTCAGAGCTTACCTGGGTTTACCTTTGATTATCACTTGATAATGAGTTCAGTTAACGTYGAAACGTCGTATTATGTCCTTTAGTAAAATTCTATCGCTAAACTTTATCATAAAAATTAAGCACTAGAGTATTGAATCGGCGAACCAAGTAAAATATTTCAACCAACTAATAAATAATGATGCTAAAACCATATATACAGGGTTATTATAGAAATTAAAGAATTAGAAACTTTGACTCGGTATAACTGGATTCTGGAAACGAAAAGCAACTTCTTGGGACTTTTCATTTAAAATTTGCTATAATCAGAGAGGTTTCTAGTCGATAATAAGTTCACGTCGTAACGTCGTGTTATGTCCTTTAGTAAAATTTTATCGCTAAACTTTATCCATAAAAATTAAGCACTAGAGTATTGAATCGGCGAACCAAGTAAAATACTTCAACGRACTAATAAATAATGATGCTAAAACCATATATACAGGTTAAGAGATTATAGAAATTAAAGAATTAGAAGCTTTGATGAAGGCTCGATAGGGACTCAATACACTCTAAAAGTTTGATTTCTTAAATTAAGAAGAAAACTCTTATTTTAAGGTCCCCAGATAAGAAGTAAGAAGCTCTTATTTCAAATTCTGGAATTTATCAAAATGAGGAATGTAAAACTCTCAATACAAGAGAATTAAATATCTAAGTTTAATATATCGATTCTCTTATATTAAGAAATCAATCATCTTAATATTAGAAGATTAGGTATCTCAATTGTAGATATCTATTCTCTGGTATTGAGAAATGTAGCATCTTGATATTAGAAGATTAGGTATCTCAATTGTAGATATCTATTCTCTGGTATTGAGAAATGTAGCATCTTAATATTAGAAGATTAGGTATCTCAATTGTAGATATCTATTCTCTGGTATTGAGAAATGTAG